TAAATGGTGTGTCAAAAGTCCGTTCGGTTTAACCCGGTTCCCTACTTTCGTTTCGTTTCGCGAAACTTCCTTCTTTTTCAGCATTATTTCATCAGTTGGGTTTTGCCTCTTATATCAGGAGGAAATTTTGTTGAGTGTCTCTCCCCATTTCAGCATTAAAAACCGGATTATCTTATTGTTTTAGGTGATTTTAGTGACCGTCTGATGGACTGTAATCCTGCAGACAAGAGAAGTTCAAACTTCGTTTTCTTCTGCTTCAGTTCACAATTTATATTGGCACGTCTTGCTTACCTCTCGCTCATGACTGCTGACGTTCACGAAATATATTCCGCTGGGAGGGCGTTCTGCTTCCCAGCGTTCTAGACAAGTTCCTTCTGATGTTTTGAACAGTGCTGGAACCCCTCCTCCCTTATATGTGACGATGGAAACTGATAATTCTCCGAAACCTTTCCGCATATTCGTTTCCTTCTTCCGTGCAACTTATATTAGAAGTTCTAAATTCAAAATTTAATATTTAAAACTTTTTAATTCTTTCGCTTTATTTATCCCCATTTTCCACAACATATTTCGACCTACGCGGCCTTCAACGGGTGCGCTAAAACTGTTTTGGTGAAACTACTGCACTTCATACCTGTCGTAACACTTTCCCCACGAATGTTATGATTCAATTCCGAATTCTGAGTATAATTTCCTTTTCGTGCTCAGTGTGTGTTGTGTATTTCTGTCTGGTGCCGTACGTATTTCATTCTGGTGTGTCTTGTGTAGTTATCTGGTTACTGTCACGTGAATGGGTGTGACTATCGATTAGGTTTGGGTCGGTAATCTGATTTATTGAACATTTACTATCGTAACTGCAAATAATTACGGCATTCTCGCTAACTACAGCAACACATAAAGTCTTCTCAGTCTTCACTAGCGGTTGTTTGGTAGCGGCTTCCAACGGCGGACGTTCCCCTTCTTCTGGGTCCCCGAACTGTCCCAGGCTTCAGCTACCAGCTTCTCACTACTCGCAAAACCAACTCTTAAATGACTCAACCGTTCTGGCCATCTTACACCAACCTCCTACTCTTCTAACTGTCGTCTCCTAAGTGAGAGTCAGAGTTACTTTACAACTGGTGGTTTAGCGTCAATCAGTTCGTCTTGGCGACAGACTTCTTGGTAATCACGGCCAGTATTTTTTAACTGAACACTTGTGGCTATAGTCCTTATGTAACACGCTCTCTGATGAGAGGATGTGTCTGTCGTTTACAATTACTGCTGGACCTCGCCAGCGCAGTCATTCTCAGGTCCGAATATTGCGGGACTCATGACCATATTTTACTTCCTTTTCGTCGCCTCCTACGCTGCACTGCCTCTTCACATGGGGTTATGGCAGCTGGTCCTCGTTATATAACCTAGGCACAGACCGCACAGAAAACGTCTCTTCCATTATTGCGTGTTCCCTCGTTGCCGGGGAAACGTGTCCACGTGTTCCCTAGCAACAGCTGTTGCACTATCGCCTGTTTACACGGCTGTTACTTGGCAATGCGTCTACATGTCACATTATATTCGATAATTCGGAAATGTATCATGAAATTTGGGGGGAGGACGAGTTACAACAGTGTATACAGCGCAGCAGTTTCACCAAAACAATTCTGACGCCCCTTATAATGGCCGTGTATGCCGAAACATGTGGGAAAAAGGACAAATAAAGTGAACGAATTTCAAAGACTTTTAAAAATTAAAAATTAGATTCTGAATTCTGATATTTGTAAGTTGCACGGAAGACGGAAACAAATACGTGGATAGAATGCAGTGCAACATGCTGACATACAACACAATTCTCCAAAACACCAAGACCCCGGACAACGTCCAAACCACTGGTCATGTTTAAGATTATGATAAGTTCCGTCGATTTCCACAAACCCACGACAGAGAAGTTTCCCTAAGCAGCTGATAATTATTCATCTGATCAAAGACGCTCTGTTGTTACGAGATCCTACTACCGCTCGCAAGCACGACAAGTACTATTTGACCCTATCATGAGACAATTAATCGTTTAAAGCACAATGTATTCATTGTATTTGCTCGGTGGGGTGAGAGAGCGTCCGTAGGGCCTACGGATTTACAGCTGCGGGGGGTCCCGGGGCAATCAAAATGTGGAGGTTCCTTCCAGTATCGACAAAATTTAGGTAATGTCAATTCTAATATTTTCTTCTCATTTCAAATGATAACTGGAAATACAAACTAGGAATTACTGGGTTCTTGGACGATCGACAAAGTCCAAAAACCCCAGTAACTGTGAGAGTTATATAGCATCGTCAGAACCCTTTGGATTGAGTGTTTCTAGAGAAACAAATGTGCCAATAAAATCTGTGAATTCCATTTCTGCTCTGTGGGGGCCCCGTGGCGAACGCCCTCGGTCACTCCGCTTTAAACCCGGACTTGGGGGTGGGGGGCTTCGTATGCTGGGCAGTACTGCCCTACTGTACCAGTCCCGGATGAAGACAGATGGGCGTGGGACAGTTTCTGAAAATACGATTGGCAGGGGAAACCCGGGTACCACTTCTGTGCACCATAAATTCCACATTGCCGGACATGGGCTCGAACCCAGCCCGCCGCGGTGGAAATCCTGACCTATGGCACGGCCCTGTGAGACAGGAAGTAAATGTTTATATGTTATTAAGCTGAACTTCATGCTTCAAAAACTTCAGCAAATAAAGGGTCCAAAGCAATGCTGACTGAAGATAAGACCAGACGTTCTGTCAACACTGTGGGCTCTCGTGATAATGTTTCCGTTGAAGTTCCTTATCAAATGTAGGACGGTAGCAGTTCATGGCTAATCACAAGCTGGTCAAATATCTAACGAGGCCATCAAAATTGCTTGCCAATTAAGAACAATGGGAGCCTGTTCACAACTCCAGGCTTTACCTGCTCCCCGATCTGAGATCCTCGTCAATAATGTGACACAATTCCACATGTATTACCGAATACGTTATTTTGGGTTTATTAAGGTTATCAGAGGCGGCCATTTTGTTCACTGTATGTTCTAATGTGTAATCACTACAGAACTTATCATCTGCTTGATAACTCAAAACTGCATCTGATCAATTGATTGGTATAACCGGAAGAATACAAAGGAAAACATTCGAAACATCGACATTTATAATAAAACTTTAAATAATAATTGTACAAAAGTATCAAGTGCGAATTTAATTACATCTGTGTAATGTAATAATTTAGTATAGATAAAGGGGTATTATATATAAGATACTTTTTCCAAAATTCTTGTTTTCCTACTTAATTAACATCTGGACAGTCTGGAGTTTACAAACGCACCAACATACATACATACATACATACACTTCTACCTTAAGAAGCTTTATACAGCGCATGTACACGGGGCTTTCCGAGGTAAATCATTAAGAAAAAATCAGCATAAATACAATTTTCGACAGACATAAAAGAATAATAAAACTGAGGGCCACCTAACAGTCAAATGGCTAACTACGGAGCCAAATACAAAACTAATAAGCTTACAGTCCTAAGAAATAAATTCCACTTAAGCCAATCAACAGTTGGCAGGTTTTTGGAACTTCACAAGAAATCCGCAGGCACTGCCATAAAAACTGATTAATCTGGCGTATGAAAAGTTAATATCAACAGAGAAGTAACCAATGCTTTCGACCGCTTAAATTGCTGTCAGATATCCCCTCAAACATATTTCGGTTTATTCGACATGTCTTCTACCATCATTGGACACGTTTAGGCATGACACATAGCATGGGGCACCTGTATGTTTTAAACTCTGGTTACTATATGTACCACCTACTCCGACATTAGAAAGAAACTGCACTTTGCCTACAGAGTGCATTTACAATAAGATAATTTCCTTAAACAAAATTATATGTTGGTCTTTGTAATAGCGGCACAGTGTGCTTTTATGCCTAGGAACTATATTCCTACATTAGTACTTCATGTGTATAAGAATATACATATATTTAGCAATCACCAAGATTATGTTATGACGTTTACATATCATACACACACTTGCCTGGTGGAACTATTTATATGGTGTCCACCACTGTTTCCTGACTTCAAGCCCATACCATACACACAAAACTTGTCCTTTTTTTAATTCTGTGTTACTGTACGAAAGCGCATTATTTTAATCGATACTGAAGGCCAAATATTCTCTTTTGGCCTGGCTGGGATTAAGTTAGATTTGTGTTATGTTCTGGGTTCTAACTAGACAAAACAGGAACCCACAAATTTCGGCTTCAGATTTGAATTTATATACACATTTCCCCAGTATGTACAGGCATTTTTCAATGTTTAACTGTGCAGTAGAAGAATTAAAAAGTATGACCAGTCTAAAGCATTTCATAGTGGTTTGTTGAGAATTGTTTTGAGTGGGGTGGGAGATGCTGTTACCATGGCATGAAATAGCATTCTCCGTTTTCTGGGCCACATGAATGACAGGACACCTACTCCCCATTGCAGAATACTACAAAAGATAACACTGCCCCGGAACTACTAATTACTCAATTATTCACAAACCTCCCCGCTGCACAAAAGTGCAAAGACAAGTTTTCCATCCATAACCCAACAAGGGTAACAATGCATCCTTACAATAATCGCACAGAACAGTCCATCTTCAAGTGATGTTACATTCAACAAGGAATAATGTAGTGTGCAAGAAACATTCAGAATGTATGAAAACGCATAAGTGACGGTGTTAGCTTTCAGTCTTAATCTCTCATACAGTTGCAGGCAAAGGAATATATGTACAATGCTTCAGTGAGCTGACGGCGAACTGCCAATGCATTCCTTCATAGCAAGAGAAGATCCATGCAGGGACATGCACATTTCTGCAATCAAATCAAGGAGGAGGAGGAAGGAAGGGGGAAGCCAAACCAACCTCAGCGGCAAACTGACCAGAGCGACCGACAGGTCTGACCTCTGGTCTGCGAGCGAGCGAACACAACTTTAGGAGGGGTAGTCACTTGACAACCACTTACACGGTTCGTACTGCCCATCTTCAGGATCTGCAAATGCCACGGCCAAAACAAAAAACAAAGAAAACAACACAGTTTCATTACAATAATAACAGAAACTAAAAACCAAAGGATCTTTAAAATAAAACACTGCAGAATGATAAAATAAACAACAGACAGCAGACAGCCAGACACTAATTCACTGGGGAGGCAAGAGCAACCAATGTAATGCGATAGGATATTTCTAAATGGTATACCCAGCAGAACAAAACTTCACCTGTGACAGTGTTATGTACTGAACGGAGCAAAACAGATGTCTCAAACAGCGAGGAACCAAATATGTCAGTAATACAAAAACACACTTGCTTCTCGTCCGCCTGTCACTAAATCTGAAGTTCACATTTCGGTTACTATAGCTGTCTAAATTCTTATTTTATTCTGAGACATGTCTTCGCGTAACACAGTAGACAATCTGAGCTACTTCACATTATTTCTTTACGAAAAAAAAACATTCTGTCTCTGATAATGCCTGCTATTTATTGGGTATACATTTGAAGAAAAATTCCTAAAGATTAAACAACTTAATCCATTTACAACATTCATCACTGTAGATATCACATCATTGTAAGTGCTCACTATAAGATTTATTTTAACAGGGACTGCATTTATCTGGTTTAATTTTATCTTTCAACATATAAAAAGACAGAATATATTAATAGAATGTGACGGTCAAGATGTCCTTTATAACCATTTATTTTTCAAGTTTTAGGCCCTACGTCTTCCGATTTTGACAGGTCAAGGTTGAGCCTCGTCTAACTTCACAGCTGTCTTCTGGCCTCACCTGGTCTCAGAAAATTTTACAAGAAGACAAAAATAATTAAGTTTCCACAGAAATTTCAAGGGAGAACTGCAAGGGAACTGTGACACGTTCGATCCGTATCCGCTTAACTGTGGACATTCTGATTGGTTTTGGGAGGGGGATGGTTAAAAATCTTACGTACATTAAACCAACTCTGTTGGCTCCATCAGCTAATCCCTATCTCTAGACCTCAGATTAGCTCTATCTGATGGACCCAGTGGGCTGGGACAAAGTCCCTTGTACTGCGGCCACTTCTGGCCTATTGTACCAGCCCCAGATGATAGGTGAGGGTGATTGTGGAGCAATTGGTGGAATGAAGATTGGCAGGGGAAACTAAAGTACTCGGAGAACACCTGCCCAGCGCCACTTTGTCCACCACAAATCCCACTTGACCAGACCCGAGATCGAACCCGGGCCGCCGCGGTGGGAAGCCAGCGACTAACCGCTTGAGCTATGGCGCGACCAAGTTCCATACCTTTAACCGATTACAGAAGTACAGTCTGCTTCCGAAATGTTGTTTCCTTAACCAAAACAAGATGATGAAAAATTTCCAAAATTTAAGTCAGTTTAAAAATAGATGTTCACCAGAGACCATTTAGACTTAACTTCCTCAATAAGCACACACAATCTACAGTTTATCTTTACAGAAAAAACTTACTGAGATAACAATAAGAAAACGAATTTCTTCACGTAGTTCACGGATCATCTTCACAGACTTCAGCTGTGTCTCAGACACTCCTGATAAATGTTCTAAATGGATTAGAGCTCTGAATAACGTGCTCTTTCCTAAACGAAATCTATACACAATATTTCATAAACTCTACGCTAAGAGTAACTACTAAACTACAAATGCAAACCACTACATCCTAAAATAAATACATTAATTACAATATCTCAATAAGTCTAATATGAACATAACCTAGACAGAACTACTTTACAGATATGAAACACACGTCAGAACAGCTTATACGATGGATTTACTAGGCATACCAATGATGTTTGTAGAGGTTTTTTGAGAATACCTGAAAAACAAGAAAATAAAACAGCACACAAAATTGAACACAAGACTTGTAAGATGTTCCACCCAAAGCCAAAGAAGGCAAACTTCTTAAACATAAGCACAAATATCATACGTGCCTATGTCAGCTTCATAACCTAAACTTAATTTAATAAAACTCTTCAAAAATATCTCTGGGTGCCATATATATTTATAATAATAGTCTGAAATCCATAAGCTCTATTTCTGATGGGCACGGACATGTTAAGTGAGATCTGGGGTTTGCATTGTACCATGGAGATTACTGTCTTCAGGCCTGTGACACCGTGTAACCTGGCAGAGAGTTGCCAACATCTCAGAGGAAACTGCTGCTTCAGTGGGATGGGAAACTGCTTACTCAAGACTTTCCCGCTTCTCCCTGTTCCATCAACGTGCCACTGGGAAATGTCCCTTCGAAGGGCCAACACTCTCTCATTTGTCTTAGCCCTCCACTCTCTATATCCGTGCCACATTCCAGTCTGCTCATTCTTCTGCTATGAAGATGGACGCAGCAGAATCCTCCAAAACACTTGTTAGTGTATGCCAGACTGCACGGCATCACATCCCAGAACACAGTACACTTCAACACGACACAGAAGTGGGATCACTGGAGCTGTCTGCTGAATTCGGGTTATTGGCTGCCGACAACTTGTATTTACCTGCCTTTGTTGTGACAGTTACTGCGCCTGTGCCCCCTTCGCATTCACCCCGCTAAGCACTACAGCAACAAGGTTTGCATGCCTATCTGGGGACAGCTGAACCCTTCACAAGAGCAATTCTAATATTTACGATCTGAGGATATGTAAAGTACTATCTTTTGCGATATAACGCCGTACAGTCGGCTGAAAGTCAACCGACGTTTCGGAGGAACATCGCATTCTGTCCCAAGGCGCGTCTTCCATTTCCTTCCGGCTTCCTGTGTAATCCGAAATTTCGAACCAGGCGATTTACTCTGCTTTCCACCGGTTTTTCAGGCTGGTATGTTGCCCGGCTTATTCGATCCTGAAGATGGAGGCGATATGTTCCTCCGAAACATCGGTTGACTTCCAAGAGATTATACGGCGTTATACCCCAGAACAGAGTCCTCTTCCATTTTAATATTATTCTCACATTTATAAGCAGTATTCCCAAAACGCATTTTTTTTTTCGTTGAGGTTTAACTAACAAATTAATTCCATGAAGTAGAACCATTTTTAAGAAGCTAGTAGCAGTCACTCAGGTACCCCAGTAATTCCCCAAACGAAAGGTTCACTCCCGCGTTCACAAAAGCCTGCCTTTACAATCGCATTTTAACATTATCATCCTAAATTCGACTAGGTCTTACAAACAGTCTCTTCCAATCTAGCTCTGTTGCCCCCAGTTTTAAATACCAAGGATATGATAAGGTGCTGCCTGATCAGGGCTATAAGACACCTCGAGGGCGATGCTTAGCAGGGTAAACTCGAAGAAACTCTGCGAGAAACCTGGTCCACCACGTACCTCACGTGAAGCCACCCGGATCTGAACCTGTGGCTATATGATTGGAAGCCCATGTCTTACTGCTTGAGCCACGGCACGGCCCCAATTGTGTACATCACCTGTTGTTTTGCTGTTTCATCTCTCCTAGGCACAAAATATTCTTCTCAGCGCCCTGTGCCCCCAATCACCCTCGACATATGCTACTCCCACGAACTGAGGTCAAGCTACACGTCCATCAGCCACTGTCACAAGCAGCGGGAAAAGGAGGCGCCGAAAGTATGCTACGCTGACAACCAATCGCCAGAAGATGGCAAAAGATTTACATCCTTTAAACAGCACGAATATCAAATATTTCCCAGATAGCAGACAATTCCAGATTGCAAACCTTTACATACACATATACCTCGTAATTATGACTGCAAATGTGAAGACATGTACCTCATGCTGGAATATTAATAACACGATCGCTCGCGCTTATCCGTCTCCTGTGCGCATGTTCAAATGTGTAACTACTTACTAATTAAACACAGCATCATCAATATATGCGAGCCGCTAAACTGCTATTCTCTGATGCTATTTGTTCCGACCATTACATGATCAGCCTCAGGTGCTTACATGTATTCATGTTCTACCCCGTAAGGCCATATACCGCCAGTTGTATAGCAATTACAGAGAGAAATGGGGCATTGCTTTAAAATTGCCAACATAATTAAAATTTTGACAAAATCTGTGTTAAAACTTATAAGAACTGGAACCAACATTGTTATTAACAATTATATTAAGCCATGATAGCGCAGTCGGTATAGCGACTGGCTACGGGCTGAACGATCGAGGGGTCGGAGTTCGAGTCCCGATGAGGTCAAGAATTTTCTCTTCTCCACACCGTCCAGAACGGCTCTGAGGTCCACCCAACCTCCTATCCAATGAGTATCGTGGACTCTTTCCCCAGGGGTAAAGCGGCAGGGGCGTGAAGCTGACCACCCACTTCCAGGCAGAGCCGAGGTCACGAAAATGTGTATTTATACATCCACTCCCCCATACGCCTTCATGGCACAGTGCTTAATTAGTTAAGCACAGGAACAGCTTCACCTTTAGCTTTTACAGAATTATACATAGCACGATAATTTTAAAGTAAAATACGTTATTATATAAAAAAAAGGTAAAGCTATCCCTGTAACGCCGTGGAGGCCCACAGGGTTGTGAGCCGTCGAGGCTCCCACATTTTCTAGACAATCGGCTCACAGATGGTGGTGAGGCTGTCAACCTTACGCGCCGACCGCCCTTTACCTCCACGAAGATTCCTGGTACTGATTTCTGTTAGAGGCTGAGTCGACCCCTGGGTCATAGTGCGGCTGAAAGGATTTGATAAATTGAAAAAATCCAATGTCATCGGAACTCGAACCCGCGACCTTCCGGTTTGTAGCACTGTGGCTCGGCCAACTACGCTACCGCGTGCCCCCACTGTATTAAACGTGATGATTCTTAAAACTATCATCAAAACCGATTTTGGATTTGGGGGTGTCACGGCAGTAACTGTGAAGAATGCGATCTTCTGCGTTGTGACGCCGTGCAGAGCGGAGGTTTCCGAATTAGTGGCATTACAACCACAAGTTTGTTTTCTTCAAAATCTATTTCGTTTTCACGATGTAAAACCTCCCATAGCTATTATATAACTGTCTTACATGTCCGTAACAACGATCAGGTGATCAGGACTTAGAACAAGGAGCAAATGAAATTACAGAATCAGGGGCGAAGTGTCTGGATGGTTACAGGCACATACAAATGTTGCAATGCCCTGAAGATGCCCTCCATCAGAATGCCTTCAAAACATGGCACACAGTTTTTGTATTTTGTACAAATTTCCTCTCTCAGTGCCTTTTGAGTAACTTCAAAGAACAATTTTTGGGTACACAGCGAAAACGGCACAGATCTCAAGAGGGCAGATCCCTTGCAGATCCCAACACAAACTTACTTCTCTTCCCATCAGTTACAACCTGTTCACAGTCATTCACGTTCGTTGTTATTGGACATCTGTAGAGGGCCCCAGAATGATTTGTACCAGGCTGCAGGTTCTTGCCCAATGGCGCCCCCACGAGTAACCTGAAACAAGAAATAAACAATGAATTTTGGGGGAAAATATCTTACGGTATCTACTATTCTTTAAATTTCAGCTATTTTTTTTTTAATTCGATTAGTGGGGGGGTGGAGTCCAACAGGTTCCACTCGGCACGGCGGCCATTGATTGGCCTATTGTAGCCTGCCCCGGGTAATTATGATGATGCAGAATTTGGTGGACTGAAGATTGGCAGGGGAAACCAAAGTATTCGGAGAAAACTCGCCTAGCGCCACTGTGTCCACTAGAAATCCCACTTGACCAGACCCGGGATGGAACCCGGGCCGCCGCGGTGGGAAGCCAGCGACTAACCGCTTGAGCTATGGCGCGGCCTGATGCAGTCCTTGATTCACCTCTCCTGTTGTGTGTGTATGACAATCATTCTGTTTGAAGGGGCAGCACTTCGTGACCAGCGCAGGGTGTGTCTGTGTAGCTGGTAGGTCAGAAGTCATGAACGAAGCTTAAAGGAGATGTGTCATGTAGTTCTGTAACTGTTCTGCCCTTCCTTGTCTACTGTGTAGCCTTTTACTGCACTCCAAAAATATGTATACATTTCTTGTTTCCTTATGCCTGCTACACACACACAAAATTTCAGCGACTTAGATTTGGCGTTTTATTTTGCATTTTATGCTTCGTTGCTGGTGTATGATTTTTTGAACACGACCACGTATGCCTTTGTGGTGTCTTAGGTTCTGAACAATTTATTTTAATGTCTCACATTTTGTGCTGTTTTTGTTATTATTAATTTCTTGAATCTCTCGGCTTTGTAATGTTTTATTTTTGAATTTATCAGGTCTGTGCCGTTCTTGAGATTGACTTTAGATTCTCTGGTACTTAAATTTGTTTTCCTTTTACATTTTACGTTTTATTGTGATTTATCCTTCATTTCTTTCCATTCTCTTTTTTTCTTTTTATTATTTCATGACACTTTTCGTTATTTCCCCCCCCCCATTTTTATTCGCTGGATGTTTTCCTATTTTGACATCTGTTTTTTGTTTCTTTTTACTTTCATGTTTTTCTTTACCTTCTCCCATATTTTTAAATATCTTTTACATGGCACATTTTTATGTTATTTTGCTGTATTCAGTCTTTTAGACATTTTGCGGTTTTTGCATTTTCATTTTTTATGACTATTTTCTTTTCCTTTTTATGGCCTTGTTTTGGTTTATTCTCTGTGTATCTGAAATTGAAGATTGCTGTCGTCTGGAATGTAACACCGTGTAGTCTGGTAGATGATTGCCTTGGCTTTCGATTAAAGTAATCGGCGCAGACAGCAGCACTGTGCGACACTTGAGCTTCTCATGTCGATAACTTTGAAGATTATTTGTTTCTCTGGGTTACGCCGTGTTGTCTCATACATTCTTGCCGATTTCACCGCTGAGATCCTATCTCACATAGCTGAAATTTGGCCGCGCCACAGCTCAAACGGTTAGTCCCTGGCTTCTCACCGCGGCGGCCTGGGTCTGATCCCAGGTCTAGTCAAGTGGGATTTGTGGTGGACAGAGTGGCGCTGGGGCAGGTTTTCTCCGAGTATTTCGGTTTCCCCTGCCAATCTTCATTCCACCAATTGCTCCACGATCACCCTCACCATCATCTGGGGCTGGTACAATAGGTCAGAAGTGGCCGCAGTACAAGGGACTTAGTTCCAGCCCACTAGCAACACAAAAAAGGACTGCAGTAACAGACCACATAAGTATTCAATTACCTTACAAAAATTACAAGTTACATTTGGATTAACTGATGAAGAAGGGACACGTGGTAGTGTCGCTGGTTGAGGCACTATGCTACAACTCGGACGGTCGTGGGTTCAATTCTAATCATTGGCTTTTTCAACTAACCTAATTCTTCCAGCCGTACTATGACCCTGGGATCGACTCAATGTCTAACAGAAATGAGAACCAGGAATCTTCGGCGCGTAAATCTGACCTCACCGTCATCTGTGAGTCGACTGTCTAGAAAATGTGGGAGCCTCGACGTCTCACAACCTTATGGTTCTCCACGGCTACCATTGAGCTTCTCACCGTTAAAACAAAAAACTATCAAATACGTCTATATTTACTTACTAGAACTGAACTGGTGTCTCTTCATTTGTTATATAAGCTTTCACATTACTTACTTCCCCTGCTTTCTGCCGAATTCTCTTCCAGCCATATATCTTATCGAACGATACCTCGACGCTGACGTTTAACGCCATCTCCCACTAATAACAGGCACAAATATTAAACCCGAAACGGTCTCCTTTATACTACACTTCGCATATCCACATCAAAATAATGTCAGTGCTCACTGAGTAGACACGATGCACAGAAACAAAAGATTTCTCCCCCGTTCATCACCCGCTAGACAACTGGTTGCTATGGAAACCTGAAATTGCGCAATTTCATAGCATCTTACCATTACATTGCCTTTCGCCTTCTCTTCCACGCAGTATATATACTTGTATATGCAAACGCACAGTGACAGCGAAACAAAAATGATCTCGCGATGTATAAAGATTTACACGCTTAGAGCACCCCCCCCCCCTTAATAAGAAAGAGCAGTGGGCCTCGCTAGTGCCTGAGCGGATTTTATTCATATTCGGCATTCCTGAGTATATCCGTCAAGTGATTGTGAACATCCCAGCTCTACAGACAGGGGCCATTCATAAGAGCCCCAAAACACAAAACGGCGACTTTCTGGAAGACGATTCAAATAATTCTAAAGAGAGTTCGGTAACTTATGAAGACTGCACTGGCGGTATCTTCAGGAACATTACGGTACGCCCACTAGGGGTCCCACACGGAAGTCCAGTGCGTCCAAACCGGCTTTACTAGTCGAGCGGATGTAATTGCTCTTCGGCATTAGGCAAGAATCCATTTCGTTCCCACGGTAGCGTAGTCATGTCAGTCGTATGTGCAACGTCCAGGAGCTGGGGTAGCGACTGGCTACGGGCTGGACGACCAAGGGGTCGGAGTTCGATTCCCGGTAGAGGCAAGCATTTTTTCTTCTCCAAGTCGTCGAGGCCGGCTCTGGGGTCCATCCAACCTCCTATACAATGAGTACTGGGGGTAAAGCAGCGGGGGCGTGAAGCTGACCACTCACCTGCAGCTAGTACAGAGGTCAAAATGTGGATCTATACATCCACTTCTCCCATACGTCTTCGTGATGTAATTAGTTAAGCACAACGACAACTTTTACGTACAATGTTTTCGCAAACATTTCTACACATGTCACGATGGGGTTTGCATTAGTGAATTGGATCTATTGACCACTTATATACACCATGAGGAACTACAAGTAATTACAGCACTATCGCTAATCTCCACAATTCACTATAAGCTAAGTCTTCTCCAGCCTGCAGTGCCTTCAACAGCTGTTTCCTGGTAACGGATGCTAACGGTGGAGATTCTTCAGCTTCCCCACTCAAGTCCTTCCTTCAAGATTCTAGTACCTAACTGCCTGCTTCAGTTCTCTTCTTTGTAACTCCGCGGCGCGGACCGCGTAGGCACAACCCCGTTCCCACGCTGCATGCGTAACCGTTGCCCAGAAACCACCCATCTCACAATCACTGTATAGTAACGGCTGTTGTCTCTTTGCCTAGCAACGGGTTTATCTACCCGAAACCGAGAGTCGCTCACACTGTACAGCAACAGCGAACCGGAAACTGTACGGAACGAAGCGGCCATGCTCTAACTTACGGGACTGTCCCACGCGCTGCCTGCCGGGAATGACGAGAAACGCGAAAACTTAAGTCACAACAGTAAGAGTCACGACCGGGTTTCGAAGTTGGCATATCCCGAATACAAGCTCAGTAATTTTTAGCCTATTTTCCTTATTAAAAAAATAAAACGAGGTTTATGATATCACCTTGCTGTCTGTCCGTCTGTATCTATATTCCCCTCTAATTTTTGTTAGGAGGCTTATGAAATCACCTTGCTCTCTGTGTATCCTTCCCTAATTTTTTTGTTTTCCATGCGATTCGTGTCGTATCAAAGAAAAGCCGGCGATTAGATCTTCCCAGAATTTCTTGTTATTAGTACATGCAAACTGCTTTATAACAAATGTCCATTTCTCAAGACGCGAGTCGAGTTCAAATTCGGGAAGAAATGACGGCAGGGCTACAGAACTCTTACTCTAACGTTACCTTTTTAACTTAGTGGGGAGTGGCAGCTGCTCCTGATGGCCAGAAAATTGGATAAATTGATTCTGATCTCTCCAGCCGTTCCACAGCCACGCCCTTGCTTCGAGAAGATTTCAATAACGCAAATGCTTCCTCCCACCTTATTCACAAGCACTGCCTCCTTTATCATTCAAACGGCAATGAGTACACCTGGAAGACTCTGTAAGACATACGAGAAACCACCGAACCAATATATAGCACAGTCGGTATAGCAACAGGCTACGGGATTAACGACCGGGATTCGATTCCCTGCAAGAGAAAGATATCTTTCTCTTCACGGCGTCCAGACCGGCAATGGGGCCCACCCGGCCTCCTATCCAGTGCGGCCGGGGCGTAAATCTGACCACTCAACCCCGCCTAGTGCTGAGGTCAAGAACAGTGGAGTTATACCTCCACTCCCACACGTCTACATGGCGTGGTGCCTAATTGAGCACACGGTTGACCTTACCTCTACTTACAGGCATCCTACCAACCGACGCTACAGAGCGGACATGGCATGCGAAGGTAAATTAGTTGATCCCAAAAACCTGTGCGTTCAATCCACGGCTTTTGTGGCTCCTGGATTCTGAAAATTATCGTAAGCGACTCCCATCTTCAAGTTTGGCCACCCCTGTTATATAAGAATTTGGGGGGGGGGCGTGAGTCATATGCCACAAACCAATACCACAGGACGGGATCTTTCTGGTTTCTGGATCTGACGTCATTTTCGTCGAAGTTGAAAACATAACGTTGAGTGAATCAGACCTTTCCTGTGATTTCGCAGAGACATCGAAACTGTTTGAAGTTCGGAGACGGTTTCGGGTACGGCGTCAGAACCCTGAAGACTGT